TGTCCGAGTGGACGGCAGACCAATACAGCTGGCTCAGGGTGGCAGCCATCAGCTTGGTCTCGGTGGCGTTGGATGGGTAGCGGCTGCGCTGCATCAGTGGATGCCGGGCGAGCTTGAGCAGCTCGCAGACACTGATGCGAGACCCTACACACTGTTGGGGCCAAGCGCCACGCATAATCTCAAGCAGGTCGTGTCCAGCCGCATGAAACAACGCCTCGGTCGCTCGCTTCAGATTGGCACCACATCGGGAGCGGTGTTGACTGATACCAGCAGCTTCGAAGAAGAGGTGACACTTGTTGCACTGGGCGACCAATTTGGCCTCCATCACCTGCTTGACCAGATCAGTGGCTTGCTCGTCGTAGGGGTGCTCGCGTAGTACATGATTGACCCAGGCTTTGCGGTCAAGGCGGGGCCCCTTGCATTTGCAAAGCCCAAATGGGCAGGCGAGGAGTTGCCTGTGGCCAGATGTCTTCAGCAGGACCTTGCGCTGGGCATCCAGCACGTTGGCAGCGATGGGCGGAGCGGGATCGCTGAGAAGAACATCTTGCTCACTCTCACTGTGTTCGCCCGCTGTATTGTGTGTTTCACTTTCACTGACTTCGCCAAGTGGGGCTGAGTTTGCATGCTCACTGTGTTCGACAGGATGTGAAATGGCAGCGGGCAAAATGGTAGTGGCAGGGGGTGAAGCAGAGGGCGGAGAGGGATCGGAATGGGTTTGTTGTGTACCCGATGGATCTGGCAGCACTATTTGAGCGGGTGTAGGTGATTGCACCAATGGCTCAGGCGTGGCACTGCCGTTTGTGTCACCGTCACCATCATGCGCGGGAGGGGCGATAGGGGTGGGCGCGCGGAGTGCGGTGGAGCGAGGAGGGGAGTCGCTTTCATCCGAAGACATGGTCAAAAAATCCGATGGTGTGTTAGGAATCGAATGATGTGTCTGCCCTGTGGACTCGGGCGAGGATTGTTGCTCCCCGCTGCCATTTGGCTCAGAGGGCACCGATGCTGACAAATCCTCGGTCATAGGGGCCGAAGATGTGGCAGTGGCGGCGGCAGGCATTGCCGCAGCAACTTGAGCAAAGGAGCGAGGGCTGGATGGCGTGCGAGGGGTGCGGGGAGAAGCATTGGAAGTGTTTCCGATGATGGGATGTTGCTCCCCGCCGCCGTTTGACGTCCTGGTCACTGGCTCGGCCGCGGGCACGACGGCACGTGCCGAAGACTCGGTCGCACCGGCAGCGGGGGACGTCGAGGGCACATGAGACGAGGCACGGGCGGTAGGGACAGAGTGGCGGGCGTGAGGGCGAAGCGGGGTGGTCATGGGGTCAGG